CTTTTTTTTTTTTTGCTTTTTTTTTCTTTAAAGGAAGTTCTGGAAATAAGTCTAAAGGCGAAAGTAGTTTGTTTACATTACAGATTAACAGCGCGCTGCGATTAGCCTTCCCTTGCCGCCCTCCTGCCCCACCGTCGCAATCGGGTCTAAAGCGGAATCTCACCGGCCACGTGAAGTTAAAGGGCAACTTAATGGGGCTGTCAAATCTCTCCGTATCCTTGACGCTGAAGGAGTTTATTCCCAGAACCGGGGTGATGATGCTGCCGAAAGTGCAGGAGCCCGGGGAGACCACTGCCTGAAAATGCTTCAAACAAACGCGAAAGAAGGTCCTGCAGTGGGGGGAGCAGGGCTTCCCGCTGGCCAGAGACCCGTGGCTATTCACGAATTCGTGCAGCTCCAGCTGGAAGACGCCAGAGCCGGACACCCTCTGCACAAAGGGGAGACACACAAAATAGCCAAATCAGACCTTACCCCGGCTTTGCCATGCAAACTTGCTTCCATCACCCACTTTACATTTCGCGAACCCTTTTTTTTTTTTTTTTTTTGCGACGTGCGATTACCTGCTGCAAAATCATTAACAGAAACGTCAAGCCAAAGATGCGCAAGGCTGTCATCCTTGTGTTATTCAAGCTGCCAGTTCTCAGTGGGTTTAGTTTTCCTCCTGTATTCCTCGAATGGTCCAAGGAAGCGCTTCTCGGTTGAGGGAGAAAAGGGAGGCGTCACGGCGATTCTCCTGCAGCAACCTACTCTTCCAAATATTCCCCGAGCGCCAGCAGAAATCGGAAGGTAAAATCCAGGTGTCGATCCGTCCCCTTCTGGGAATTAATCCTGCAGCCAGCCGCCGACCTCTGATCGCTGTCGTCGCCTTTATAAACTCCAAAGCCGGGTGGGTTTGGTGAGAGACGCGGAGGGGAGTGCTTGTGTGGAACCGCTCCTCCTTTAACCGGTGCTAACAGCGCTCAGTAAATGGAAAACTTGCTTCCCTTCGAGCTGTTTATATAGTTGCCTCGCATCCTCACAAGCTCATTATGTAAACTGTCAGTCAGACTCACGGGCGATCCCTCCCCTTTTCCATCTTTCCTTTCTGGAAAAAAAGAACCAAATGTTGCGGAGAGCCCTCATATCCAGAATTAATACCCTGCTGCCGCCGCCGCCGCCGCTGCCGCGCTGACCGCCGC